TTTATGAAAGATGGCATCATTTAAAGTGAATTTACTCATGAAACCGAAACCCTAGGTGAAATTGTGTGCATGTCGTTTGTATGCACGTAATAAAGAACTATGCAATTAGATAGGTGTTATAAATAGGATGTGGCGGAGATGCTTGAGCTACTCAGGTTTCCTAGATTTTGCAGCAAGTTCCCAGCTGAGATTCGCTACTCTCTAATTTTGCCTTTTGGGCTAACCAGCTGACGCCTGGTTGAGAAGAGTTATGTTCGTACAAGGCCGCAGAAGCCCTCGTTCCGTGTCCGTGTCTCCGTCGGGTTGCGGAGAACGCCGTGTACCATCAGCAACTCCAATCCCACCCTTTAGGCCAAGCCTCATCTATCAAACCGGGCCGAGAGAGAGAGGAAGCTCCCAGATAAACATACAGCAGCGCCTAAACTCCTAATCACTCTGGGCTTCCGCTTCCAGGCCCTATAATTAGAAGTCCTTCTTTTCCTTGTATTCCCAGTTGACGCAAATGCTTTTTGTGGCTTGGCACCTCATTTAGGGCGTGGGCTTAGTTTATGGCCAGGCCAGAGTCTGGTTTAGTCTTCTGATACTGCAGAAATAGCTCTTAACCCACAGTCTGCATCTGTACAAGTTTTTCCCTTTATGCGTGTATTCTCTGTACTTTTTTAACATTCCTCTTCTCAAAGAAGCTTATTGTTTCCCAAGCGGCATATGTGAAAAGTAGGAAGCTTTAAATTAAGGCAAATATGTCAGCTAAAACAAAGCTAGAGTGTATTTTTTTGTTTGCTTTGTTTTGGGTCTTTGTTTTGTTTTTTGCATCTTGGGATATCATTTCCTTTCAAACCAAATTTTAATCATCTTTTTGGATTTAAAAAAAAACACAAAAAAGTTGTTAATTTAACATAGCTGCACCCTTCACGTTAGGGATAAGAGAACTCAAAGTTTTGCAGCGAGATATGTACTAAGCAATATTTCCTTTATTGATAAGTTTTCACTGGCTGCTGTATATGCAAAATTTTCAATTGATTTCAGATGTTACCTGCTAAACAGGATTAATACTGCTTTGAAAAATAAGCAGGAAATCCTAGGAAATGATTCCCTGTTCATCCATGCTTATGCCTGTGATAGTACAGTAAGATATAGACACACATTTACATACACATATAGTATCATCCGAGAAAACATTTTGAATGAATTTATGGCAGCTTTAACCCCTATTTCCCATCTAAACAACCTATTGGGAAAACTGTCATGAGATCTCTTAGAAAGCTCAGTGTTTCCTGCCCTGGCAAGTGAAAGTGAGGTAAGTACCAAGTTCAAGGTCGGGTTTCTGTGCTGGGATTAGGTGTTTCTGTGCGGTGCTCCGGAGCGGGGCCCGCTCACCCATGTGGGGAGATGCAGTGAGAAATAACGAGTCCAACTGCAATAGCTGAAAATTGTGATTTCTTAGTGTGAAGTAAAGACAGATGGCAAACACCACATCAGAAAAAGAAAAATGCTCTAAAATGAGTGATTTATTGGTTCAATAGCAGTAAGAAAAATATTGTAAAATATTGTGTTTTTCACATGCTTTTTCGCGTATTTGGTATTGTGCTTGGGACCTCTGTGTTGATGCAATTTAAGCAAGGATATATTTTATATTTCAAATGCAAATGTCCATGTAACAAAATCCCTTTATAAGTTGCTGAAAAATAGTTGCTAATATATGTGAAGGGTCTGTTTTCCTTAGGCTTTCATCTAATGAATTGCTTTTATTCCAAATAGTGACAGACAGCAGGATTTTAGATTAGACGGACAAAATTGCCAAATCAGATACCGCCCATCTTTCTATTTTTAAACCAACTCCCTTCCACCCACAAATGCTGTATTTTCTTTCACCTCTTTACTCCTTCAAGCTAGCCAAAACAAAAGAAAAAAAACACCCAAGGCAAGAACAGCTCGTTAATATGGAACCAAGAACTATGTACATCATATGGAACTGATCAGAACTGTAGAATACAAGCACTTTTCACTTCTTAATTTGTTCAGACACCCTGTGTGTCATCAGAAGAATGAACAGGTAAAACCCCCTATAGGTTGCTTTATGAATCTGTGAGGAAAACTTTATTTACAGAAAGTGTGTTAATTTTCTCTTCTTTTGTCCTAATTTTAGTATATGTGCTACCAAAGTGATCACTCCAGCAATGTTCTGCTCTGGGTAGATAGACATTATGAAATTGGTGAGCGGAGGAAAGGGGAAATTCTATCGCGTCTGCTCCCTGTGGGGTTTATTGCGCCTTCCCCAGCCCCTGCGTTGCTCACCAGCATTGGGAGCGAGGTGCAGGCTGGCTGACCGGGCAGGGACGTGGGGATGGACAGTGCCGGGCGGTAATTCCCGTGTTTTCCCTGGCTCGTCACCGTGACGCAGCTCTCTGTCTCCAGCTTCCAGACAGATTGTTGGCTCCTGACGAGGTTTTTATGGTCTTCGCTGCACTGTGCCAGGTGCTGGAGTGCATGTGAGGAATGCTGGGCTCTAATCTCCGGGTCACTCAGCTCCACGTATGTGTTTAGAAAAGACTTCTAGCACTTTTGCAGGGGAAGAAATCTGCTATTGCAGAGGCTGTCTGTTTAGTGTTGAGAGGAGCCTTACATATTCATCTCTTCCAGCTTCTCTTTTTCCAAAGGTCTTTTCCATTTGCAGTAAGTTAGGGGAACTAAAAGCATGCTCATCTTCATATAAAGCTGTCTAATGTGTAAGGAGTAGGAAACATAGGTATGTGGAAAATAAATATATACTTAAAAAAAAGTGGCAGTCTAATTCTAGAGCAGAAACCCTATTGCTTCAGTTTTCTCCACTGGAAATGGTGTATACTATTGAGGACTGCACACTTCACTAAAAGAGAAGTGTATTTTGTGATGTTTCAGAACAGAATTAATGCAAATTGTGTGCATAATCCCACACTAAAGACTTGGCTGACTTGCGCTTGAGCAACTTTAGCTGTATTTCCTATCAACACAGTCACTACAAATCAAGGAAATTGCCAGTTAAGCCAACATTAACATCCAGACCAACCTCAACTCACATGCCTTACCGCCCAAACATAATACCCAAATGCACTCATGGATTTCTTAGCTCCATAACAAACTGCCTTTCATTTCTAGCACACACAATCAGGGTAGCGGCCGTGAGCAGTAAAGTATGTCTACTGGAGAGAATCTTGCTGAGGTCAGACATAAGATTCTGCGTTTTGGGTGATTTTGAGGAAATGGATGTGTGCAGTGTGGGTGGCCTGCTTCTTCTCCAAGCCCTAACAGCATCAGTGGTCAAGCTGAAAAGGAAATTCAAAGGAAAATTTGTAACTGCGAGTTAGATTTATCTGCAGTTTCGTGCCTTAATTCTCCGGTACTGGTGTGCCTCATAGTCCTTCAAGTACTTGAGTTCAAAAGGTGGTGACTTTGTAAGAGCCATGATCAGAGAAATGGAGGCATCAATGTGTTCTCCATAAGGACATAGACGTTGTGCTGCTCTTCGGGTCGGCCGGGAGCCGGGCTCGGAGGAAGCCCCTGCACCGGGGAAGGAGGTGGCCCTGGGCCCGGCCCTGCCCCCGCCTCCGGCTCCGAGCAGGCCGAGAGCAACCGCGCAGCCCCGCGGCGTGGGGCAGCCCAGCTCCACCAGAACGTGCGAGAAGTTCATTGAGCTCCGGCTTTACTGAGAGTTTCTCTGCTGCTCAGTACACAAGAGTTTCCTTTTGGGTTTTTTTGCAGTCCAAATGTAGGTATTTCACTAGGGCCTTCGCGTGAGGGGCTTTGGACTCGTAGTCGGAGGCCGAGGGGAACTGGGGAGCACCGTGTAGGTGTGGGGAGAAGGCGCCATGGAGACAAGGCCATGGCTTATCCTTGGCCTAGCTGCCGTGGTAAGTGTGGAGACCTCAGTTCCCTTTGCTAAGGGTGATCATTTCAATTATGTTTTAAGCGAAGAATCAACACAACCAGACTGAGGTGAAAAATTCCTTATTTTCCCCTAGTAGATAGGATACCTTTAAAATTACTTAAAAGGCACTCCTGTGTAGCTGTTAGACCGCTCGAGTCAGTTTTTGCTTTATTAATTAAATATGAGAGGTTAATTTTACATTCTCATTTAATCCATTTCAAAGATGGTATAGCATTTTTATGAGGAAAAAGATCTGTGAAATTTGTTTCCTGTAAGCTTGATTTTTATCAAAATGCCATCATTTCTTGCTATGTGCAAAGGTATTGGGTTTTTTGGTATAACACCCTACAGTAGTAGGATAAGTAGACTTCAAATATATGTTTCTAAGCATAAACTTGAAGCCTCTAACTTGGGTTATGGACTGACGTATAAAGAGAGAAAAAAGTAAGCAGTGTATATAAGTTACTGTGACTCTACTGATCTTTTAATTTAATCATTTCAGTACATCCATCAGTGAGCTGTTTTCAATGAAATTAGTACCTAATTTAATATTTCACTTGAAAGCTCTTGGCTCTGATTTGCTGCCTTTCTAGCAGTAAATCAGGCAGTTTCTCTTACATGCGTTTATAAGAGATGCTTCAAGATTGTTTTGGGTATCTGTTATTTTGTAGTAATATTTCTACTTCCAAAAATAATTATGGTGGAAACATCAGTCTTTTTTTTTTTTTATGGGTGTGTTTGCAATGAAGAACATTTGGGAGTTTTACTCTAATGTTCATGTGTTCAGTGTTTGACATTGGTCATGTAATTTCTCAACTTCAGGTTGAGTATTCCTGTATTTTTCAATGGATATTAATAGCTTGGTACTGTACTGCTTCAGCTGTGATACTATTACATGATTTCAGTTGAAGTTCAGATTGATTTTTGTGAAATTATTCCCTTTAAGTTCAACAATTGTCTTGTAAGTTATTTTCTTTTGTTTACAGAAAACAAAATGTAAAACATGTTAGCCTTGTAGATACTTCTTAAGCCTCTTCTATTGCAGCAATTAATCTTTTTCTGTTTTTATTTTTTCTTTTCTTTTTATTTTACCTAGGGATGTTGCTGGTCACTACTGACACATTAGGCCATGATTTCCATGTTTTTCAAATACTGACACATCCTTGGTCATCATCACAAAGTGCCGTCCATCATTTGTATACACTTCACAGGGGAGAGACTGAAGCCAAAGTAAGTTGAACTATTTGCTGAAGAATAATCCCCAGACACCTTATACATTTTGTGTATGTTGGCACTTTAATGTTTGTTTCAGCACACAAAGAGCCTTTCTTATGTTATAGCTGCAAAAAGGATAAGAGCACAGCATTTAACCTGGACAATAATAAATTCTTGCCCTTTACAATGAGGTGCTGTCAGATTTATTCAGATATGACACTACCTCCAAAGAGCCCAGATTATTAGCTGTGTTTGTGCTTAACCTTTTCTCATGTAACATGTTAAACATTTGTCTAGTGCCTGTGAAGCAACTGTCAGGGTTTGCTTGGCTTTGGGGGTAAAAGCCCAAGAAAGACACGAGTTGAAAGGAAGAGTTAATCAAAGGACTGTGATTAACTTGGATCTCCACTTCAGCCAAATGGGGAGGTTGCTGGAAAATCTCGTGATGTGGAGTTAACCTAACGGTCACGTTTCTAAAGGTGGAAGTCTAACTTATGCTAGATTAGACTAGGGTAAAAAAGACTGAAATTACCTTAAAATGCTTAATAATTCCGAATGATAAGTTGGAAAAAAGTGAGAGGCATTGGCTCTTTTGCTGGTGTGGCAGTGATCCATGCAGTGCAGTGTGTGAGGCCAGAGTCCTTCACAGCCCTGCTTTTAAGCACGGTTACAGCCTCACCTTTGTAGTGTTATATAACCGTGGAAGAGGACCCATTTTCAGTACATAAATAAAAATGTCACCACAGGGTAAGAAATGCACTTGCTGATGCAATTACCCTCTGAAAGCACAGACTTGTGACGGTCTGGCAGATGTAAACGAGTGTGACAGAGAAGCCTCAGGCCCTGTGATTATGACCCTGACACTGGAAGCCTGCATTGCTCTGGTACCATGATTATGGTCGCTTCAAACCATTTTTTTCCATGGGTTGTGCAGTTTTCCTTGGGTGTTTTTCTTTACTCTTGTAAGAAGTAACATGTGAAAACTTTTTTTTTTTTTAAAGTGTGATTGATAGCATTTTGTTAGTGGCTGTTAATGTTTCAATTTGTGTGAATTTAAATTATTGGTAGCTTAAAACTGCATAATCTCTAAAATGTTCTTGTTACTACTCTGCCGAAAAAGTCTAATTAATATTTCAGACAATTGTTTACTATAGGAACAAATTATCTCTGAGAAAGGTAAGAGGAGGTCAGGAACAAGCCTATCAAATAAGCATATATAAAAATTGAAAATAAGTATAATGCTGAAGAGGCTCTTGGTTGACAAATTTATCCTGCCAATTATAAATAGTTATTTGTTTAGTTTAAGTGGCTAATGATTTTTGTATGGTGTGAGAATATAAAATAATAATTTTATGAAATATCCTAAGGTATCTCTAGGCTTTTTGAGGATAAGATGCAGCAAATCATCAGCTACTTTGGAAAATACGTTAAACCTGAGCTGCCCTTGTGTGTTACTAATTGTAGAATCACTTTGTGCTATTAAGCAAAACCAAAAATACAAGCAAAAGTGAAAAGGATTGTAAGGAACAGACATTAAAAACTTCAAGTATATTATTTGAAAGTGAGCATGTTCCAACAAGTGAAGTGAATGTTTTAAAAATATATAAATAATACTTATTGCCCTCATATTTCTACACCGGAACATTTTGCAAGCTTTTCAGTACGTTATAACATGTTCTGAGCTGAGGAAGCTCATTTACTTGTAGATGAAAGCTAGATTGTCACCTGATGATCCTTTCTCTTTGATCTTAAATTGTAAACAGAAAAAAAAAGAGCCTGAAAACAGCATTATCTCAACCTAGAACAAATAAACGTAATAATGATAGCATCTGTGGGCTGATGGCCAGGGTCCTGTGTAATCTTTAGGCTGTCAGACTTCTATTCTGACTGCAAGTGCTGTTACAGCTGACTTCAGCTAGCATAGGTAAACACCGAATGATAAAAACATTCCAGCCTGGGCTGCCACAGGACATTTTACACTTTTTTTTAGGGAATATATATATATTTTTTTGTGATGTGACTTCATTGAGAATATTCCAGGTTATGTCACACACTGTGTTCAGACAGAAGTGTTGGAATAGTTTCTAAACGTTTAAATTCTTCCTATCTTTTGACATAATTATAGTTGCAGAGTTCAAGTTGTTGGAGCGGTCTCTTGAAGACAGTGTTTCTGGGAAATGATCATGCCTGGGAACAGTCTTGGAATGACAGAGATTGAGTTAGGGAAGGTGATGGGTCTTGGGTGAAAGCAGCCCATGAGAAGTGTAAGGGTTAAAGTTACCCGAGCAGAGGAGGAGCGGAGCGGTACCGTTTGGGTCGGGGAGCAGAGGAGGAGCGGAGCGGTACCGTTTGGGTCGGCGTTGTGACTGCGGGGCCTGACTCGAATGTGTGTCTGTGCCCAGCTTCTGCCAGGGCTGAAATCAGCTGTGACTCCTCAGGGCAGCAGAGCTGGGTCCCTGTGGGTCTCCTGAATCATACTGTGTTAGTCCGTGATTTTATTACTTTTCACTTCTGTTTTCTGCCATACCATTTCCTTAATTTTTCAATCAAAAAAAGGTAAAATGCAGACCAGTTTTCTGATTTATTTTGACCCTTGCCGCCTCTGTGCTGCAGCTCCTTGTTGTTTAGTGGTTTGTTCTCTTTTCCCCTGCCATCTCTCTGCAGAGCATAGTTAAACACGCAGCCACGTCCTTCAAACCCTGGTGAAGTCCCTGTGTGACATTGCCGGCGTGCAGGGCCCTGGGCTCTTTCCTATCGTGGTCATGCCAGACGCGCTTTATCGTAGTTTCACTTCGCTGTTAAGGACTAATTTAGTGCAGTGAGATGAACACGGTGCACTTACTGCTGCTGGTGTAACTTACCAAAATTCATGGAAAGTCAGGGGGAAACACTAGCAGGAAAAGCCCTAGGAAGATTAAAATGTGTTTTAATAGTTCTTTCTTGTACTTGCTCTGGAAATACATGCTTGAGAATTGTGAGCCTCGTCTTCTAGCTCTTGCATTATGCACAAGCATTGGGAGAGGGTTTGCGCGGGGACCGCGCGGGCCCGGCCGCCGTCACGCCGAGCGGCTCCGCAGCCTCTCCAGTTGGATCACATTTGCCTCTCTAGGTACCGTGACAACCCATTTGGCCTCTTCTCCTTTATCTGCCCTCTAGCAGAGGACAGATAAAATGCTGAAATACAGACAGAAGTATTAAGTCTGCTGTTGACCTTGAGCTATAGAATAAACTCTGAATTGAAAGAGATCTACTGTACTTTGTACTTCATTAGCATATATCTGTAAACACTATGAAGTCTTGATTGATCTTTGATATCTAAACATTGCATCATAATTAACAACAAATCCAGGAATAAATTATAAATACATGGAATAGTAGTACATTAACCTAAAGGACAGCAATAAATTGCAACGTTTAACATAAACTTGAAAACCACTAATGGGCCACTGTGCAGCTTGTTTATGCTATAAGCAGTCAAGAACTCTGTGTAATGTACAGTAACAGTGTGGTGGATAACAGCAAGGCCGATGTGATAATTTATATAAGTCTTTCATGGACGCACAAGGCTTTTTTTTTTTTTCCCAAGTGATTTTTGAGCGTGCTGGATCAAGCAGGGTGACCTTAGCTTGGTCCAGGGTTTGGTTCCAGTTCTGCTGAAAAGAAGTTAAGGATGGTCTTGCATTGCACAAGTGAGTGTAGCCCACTTTGCACGAGTACTTAATTCAAGTGTAGAATTGGGAAGATGCTCTGAATGGAACTCCTTGAGCTTTCTGTTAGGCTGCTCCTAAACAGATATCTGAACCACAAGCTAGGCCATCCTTGAGACTTTTGGAGATAAGTGGCATCATTACAGGTATAAAGGTAGCTTCTAAAATACTGTGTGTTAATGTTAAGTCAGTTCTCATAGGTATATTCCTATAAACCATGATTCATTCCTACTTATCCATCAACGCTCTTCTGAGAGGACCTAAAAACCTGCTTGTTGTTTGGTTCTGTGGTTTCAGCCATGTTTTAAGCGGTTGTAACCACGATATTCACTGCAGTTTGGGAGTGGGTATTCGTGATAGTTATTTGGAAGAGAGCATTTTGGATTACGTTGTTACAAACTTGCTTCCTGAAGATCAGAAATAGTTCCTTTCTGTGTAATGTTTAGATTGAGGAAAAAAACATCCTGTGATGATTGTTCCCCCGTGTCTTGGCTTGCGTTATCGCATGCCAGGGCCTTTGTATATTTTTAAACAACATAATCCTAAGGATGCGTAGTAAAAATTGAGTAATAATACGGACACACTCGTTTCTGTTGCGCAATGAAGATGCATAGTTTGGCACCGTAGCCTTGGCATTTCTTTTTTTGGCCTTTGTTAATCCCTAGGGGGTCCCTAATCCTTTTTGAGCCACCGTAACGTGGTGGGGAAACACTTTGTAGGCAAAGCAGGGCTCTAAGCGCTGTGACTTTGCAGGGGTAATACCCACCGCGTGGCAAGCGCTAAAGCTGTCACGTTCTGGGAGGTTGTAGCTGTATCATTAGCAGATCATTTGGGTATGTCACCATAATTGAAAAGAACAGGTGTGTAATGCTGTTTTTTAGTTTATCTATGTAATGTTGATAAAGCATTTTGTATAGTGACAGTCTGTCAGACAAATATCTTGTCGCAAGACTTAAATCCCTTTTTATCTCAAGGCTTCGGGGCTCAGTTGGAAACTTGCACTTTGATGGATGCTTGCTGCTTTTGTCTGGAGGAGTTGGAGTGCATTTCTGGAATATTTGTCAAGATTTTATCAGTGTTTACTCCAATTTGAGTACTGAGCGTATTGTAAAACTGGCTTTGGTGAAGTCTTAAAGAATTGTATGTAGTTTATGCTATTTAATAATATAATGAAAACTAATCCTTCGGCTATATGTCCATTTGCTGTGTTAAATTCCACTTATGTACATGATTCTTTTTGGTCAACTTTTACCTTTAAAAAACACTTTGGAAGAATTGTGTTAGGATTTTTTTTTTTTTGTCCTGTGATAAATCATTTTAACCTAGTCCACTTGTTTTCTTGAGTTGTCTGCCGGTATGGGCCTGGAAACAAAGTTTAATCTCTCTTTTAAAGCATTCCTTTAGGAACAAGAATTCGCTTTCCATCAAAGTGTTACATAAAGCACACTTAAGAGAATTAAATCCTTCTGGATCTTGTATCTGAAATCCCAAGCAGTAGCTACAATAGAAAATATTTACCAATGTTTTTATTTTTGCCCAAAGACCAGCCATTTTAAGGAAAAACTAAAATGAAAATCCCTTTTCTCAAGTAGTGGATAAGTACTTGTATGCATGGGAAGAAAACTAACTGGGGTCTTTCTTGGGGCTATAGTAGCTGATCCATCAAGATCCTTTTGTGTCTGCTTTTAGCATTGCAACATCCAGAAGTCCCAGAAAAACGGGCCAAGTTGGTACGTTCCATTTTGATAAAATGTTAACACCAAAGAGGAGGAGAGGTCGGAGCAGCTAGGATGAGTGGATGGTCCCTGCGTAGATAAATGATAAAACCCCAGCTGAATCGATGGAGCATTTGCTATTCACGTGTGTGTGCACTGACTCTCTGCCTGTTTCCCTCGTCTGTTCTGCAGGTCCAAGACATCTCCTTCAGCCACGACTGTCGCTGGGTAGTGGTCAGCACCCTCCGTGGCACTTCTCACGTTTTTCCCATCAATCCCTACGGAGGGCAGCCCTGCGTCCGGACGCACATGTCGCCCCGGGTGGTAAATCGCATGAGCCGCTTCCAGAAGAGCGCCGGCTTGGAGGAGATCGAGCAGGAGCTGACCTCGAAGCAAGGAGGTCGCTGTAGCCCTGTCCCCGGCCTGTCGAGCAGCCCATCTGGCTCGCCGCTCCACGGTAATTCCTCTTTAGTTCACCCTCCTCTTTCAGCTGGTTGTTGGTAGCTTCTTTGGGTTCAGAATTTGCGCCTTTTTAATGCTCCTTTCTAGCAAGAGCAAGTTGGAACTTCCCATGAAGAAAAAGGTGCAATATAAACTCGGGAGGGCCAGATGCCTTTTCCAGCCTAAGAGCATTACCCTCCAACTGCTACTACTGGTAGCTGCTAGTATCAGCTAGCAGTGGACGTGCCCTTTACATTCAGAGACCATGTCTAGCAGCAAACATGTTGACTCTGACAGCAGTAGTAGCTAGTAGTACTGTAGCTGCTACTGGAAGGTAAGGGACACCTTATCTTCTGGTGAGAAGGTAAGGTGAGAAGGTAAGCTCACCTTACCTGAGCTAGTCGATTAGTAGTGGGGTTCTTTCAGAAGAACCCTCTGTGTTTGGGTTCTTGGAGCTCTCCTAAGCAAGCGTAGCTGTTCTGGAGCACCCGCTGTGTTCTCCTGCCTGGAGCTGCGGGAGGGCACCCAGCTGTGCCTGCAGGCTCATTCTGACTCATACCTGTGTTTCTGGCCGTTGTAGTTTTTCTTTCACCGTTAGACAGCAGCTCAGCACGTCATGCTTAAAACAGGCTCGGGATTCCTGTAAACAATTATAGCACTTTTAACTATTGATATCACATAGAGAAGAGGAAGTAGCTATCAACTTATGTAGCTTTTATCCAACCTATTCTGTTTTCTGTCAAGGGAAATTGTAAAAGTAAGCTGTTGCCCTTACAGTATTCCTATGTACATTTGACATTTTTAAATAGATTTGACACATTTATGAGAAGAAGAAGCAGTTTTATTTGGCATTATCATTCTATGGGCTTCAAGGCAGCAGGGTTGCTGTGACCACTGAAAGGTTGATAATTATGCCCTAGTAATTGGAAGTGAGTCATGACTGAAGTGCAGATGAGATCTCAAAAATAATGCTGCAGTCCCTTACAAGAAAGGAGTATCCCTAAAAGGGTTCTTGCTCATCTGCTGCTCATGTCCACCCAGCAGACGTGGTATATGAGTATGTAATAACGGTAGGATGTTAGGCACATGTTGTTTAAATGAGATGATCCAGAACACCGTGGTGCTTTGAATGAAAATAAGAGATTTTAGACTTAAAACAGAACAGTTCTGTGTCTTACAAAAAAAAAATCTTAGACAAAAGATAAAAATGTTTAGTTTTAAATGATTTTCACTTGGTAAAATGCCGTAATGTTTTTAGTAATATTTATTGCTGTTTTTTCCTTTTGGTAATCTTTTAGTTTACCTAGCACAAGTCAGGCTGGATATTGAAGCATACTATATGCTTCTTACAAAGCCTCCTTTATTATCAACTTGAAAAAAAATTACTGTGACTTTCATTGGAGGGATTTTGTGGGCACGTGTGGCAGCAAGATTAGTCAGTAAATGTGGGATTATTTTAATTTGTGAACTAAAATGTGTTCGTATGGATTGTAACAGCTCTTCTCATAGTGTAATGTTAAATCATATTTGGAGGAGTTACAGGAGTCTTGTGACAGGAGTGAAACTAGCTCAGAACAGAACAGTTCTGAGTTTAGTTCTTGGCTTTACTTTTAACTTGCTCTGTGCCTACTGAATTTTATTCAACTCATTTCTGTATACCGATTTGCCACTTTATACAAAGGTGATAATCTCTATGGCCTGGAATTGTAGAACTTGTAGAATGAGTTTGTAAAAACATTTGAGATTACCAAAAAGTATTAATTCACTTGTCTTTTTTGGTCTGTTTAGGCGTTTTTGTACTTAGTTTCTATAGAATATTGATGAATAGTGAGTGGTTTTAATTCATGGGCTAGTTAGAATTTTTACAAAGTTGGGAGTTAGACATATGTTCTTTGCTATTACTACTCAAGAAAGAACAGCTATTACTTTCCTTAATCATCCTTATAAATGCAGATGACTGTAATGGAAATATTAGCACAGAGGAGTGTCCCAGAGAGCACTGTTGCAATGATATAAATTGTTGATTAAATGGCAGATTTGTGTGTGTGTGAGATCTCGACTTCGTGGTTTTCCTGTTATGTCCCTCACAACCTAGAGAAGCTTTGAGTAAGCCTTAAGCTAGAAAAACTGCAGTTAGTCCTTCTAGTATTTGTGTCACGTTACCGTAACACTGGAGTGATGTCAGGCTAAAAGAAGGGTCTTCTGTGAACATAAGTGTTGTACCTTATTGCTGCTTTTGGCTACCTGTTGGAGCCCACTGGTAGGAACTTGTGATTGGTTTTTGTTACTGTAAATATTTGCAGAGTTCAGCCTTTGCAATACTTTTCTCACTTATTTTTTACTTCTGGTTTCAAAATGAAACAATTTGCTATGTGTGGAGCAGCAAAGCAATCCTCTACTTAGATTTTGTTCCGAGTACCTTACAAATTGTTTACCCCTGCAGTGTAAGCCTGTGCTGGGGAGGGGGCAGTGATTGCATTCCCAAATGAATCATCATTCAGCTTTGTTCTTCTAAGCAGAATGAAATAAACTGTTTCATAGAAACAGAAGATGATAAAGAGATTTTTTTTCTTGCACCTTTTATAGCTAGCAGAGATTTTGTTTGGGTTATTTTATCTGTTAATCCCGCGAGGTTGTATTTTTCTCATTCAGTTGGGTTGCCAGAGTGTGTTGTCAGTAATATCAGAGTTAAGTTGCTATCCTTTTATGGGCTTTTACTATTCTAAGACTATTATGACATCAATTGGTTGCGAGGCTGAAAGTTAAAGTAGAATATGGCCTTACATGACCTTTTTATATAAATATAAAAGAGAGGTGACGGTACGTAGCTATCTTGCAGGTATGCTTTATTGTAAAAAGAGAAAGCTCAAATAGCAGCTCAAATATTATTTTGCAAATTAAAAATTAGCGTGCATTATCATTATTTCTCACACAAACAATAAGTTTGGCTGAACCCCTCAGAAGTTTTTGCTGTTCAGTTCAAAATTTTCCAAAACTATAAGAAAGCACAAATATTTGTATATGAAGTTAAGCATACATTGAACCTTTCACTATGCCACCTATTAAGAATAATATTTTTTCGAGTTTATTTTCTCGTTTTCTCATTTGTTTTATTGTGGGTTGAAGTTTTAACTTGGATTGCATTGTCTTGCTTAAGGAATATTTCTAATACGCAATGATTTGTTTTTAAGGTTAATGGCGAAGTGGAAACTTAGTACCTTAGTACTGTGAAAAAACAAGCAGTACTGTATATATTACATTTAGCCTTGAATTTAGCTCTAGGAATATTCTATTATAGTACAGTTTCCATTGCAAAAAATCTGTCTTTTTTACTTTTATAAATGAATTGGCTTTCTCTCGCTTTTTCTTTTTTTGTATAATGAACATGCAGCCTGATGAAAATCCGAGGAGTTTGATAAGTGTGCACTCGGAGATGCCTGGAATATTTTCATGTTACTTTTCACTATTTCCCAGAGTGAAACTCCTTTTACTAGAAGAATTCTTATGGGAAAGCAGAGTTGAAAGGACTGACATCATCAGCCCTTCCTGCAAAACAGATTGGTTTCCTTTAAGTAACACTCACTTAAGAAACCACCTATTTAGAGAGAGGAGGACAAAAATAGTTTCAAAGAAAATTAACTGTATAATAACTTAGTCCTGGGCGGCAGCTTCTTTCTGAAGTTTAGCTTGAGCACTGACGCTGTAAACACAAGCTGAAAAACAGCTGTTTGAAATGTCTCTGCTAAGCTTATTTCTTCTTTGTAGATGGGAGTTTCTCTCCCGATTATGAATTTGACAAATGTAGAGAAATGATAAGAGCTGCTGTGGAACGGGCCCAATGTTTTCATGTACTTTCTGTGTTTCTATGTGTGTGATCGCGGCGCCATTGGGCAGCGTTACCACGGGACGGTTGGTTTTGCCGGGCCGTCGGGCGCTGTGGCGGG